AGCCGTGGTTGTTTGGTGGGCCCAGGCTGTATTCGAACCTGTCACCTTAGGTGTATGTGGCTGGCGCCTTAGCCACTTGAGCCACAGGCACTGAGCCCAAAGATGCTTTTTAAAGGCTGCTTTACATTTCACTTTATTCTAGCTTCATGGCTGGGAAATTGAAGAGGTGAGTGTGGCCACCTCCCCTTGGTTGCTGGAAGGTCCCTACTCCAAAGCCATGGAATAATCTTTGGTTGTACATTGGCACTGACTTGTCCATAATCTGTTCTCGGTGTACTCTGAATGAAAACAGTGACCAGGTGAAGCCAGCCTAAAAACAGGAGGATGCCTTGCCATCCCAATCCTGGAAATCTAGAACCATCATATTGTGTGGGTTGGGGTTGGATTTGGCCTCAGTGCCTATGCTAAGACTAGGATAGAAGGTAGTAGTAAAGGCTCGGAGCCTGTAGCTTAAGCAGCTGGGGCACCAGCCACATACACCAGAGCTGGCAAGTTCAAATACAGCCCGGGATGCCAAACAACAATGACAACTATAACCAAAAACTAGCTGGGCATTGTGGTGGGCGCCTGTAATCCCAGCTACTTGGGAGGATGAGGCAAGAGAACCCCTTAAGCCCAAGAGTTTGATGTTGCTGTGAGCTGTGAAATCTTGGCACTCTACTCAGGGCGACAGCTTGAGACTCTGTCTCAAATAATAATAATAATAATAAATAAATAAATAAATGAATAAAAGAAAGAGTAGGGGCGGTGCCTGTGGCTCAAAGGAGTAGGGCGCTGGCCCCATATGCCAGAGGTGGCAGGTTCAAACCCAGCCCCGGCCAAAAGCTGCCCCCCCCCCAAAATAATAATAATAAAAAGAAAGTAGCAGTAAAGACGTCATCATTCTGGTTGTCTTCCACTCTGTGATTAGGATGGAGATTTTTCCTCATACTTTGGACCAGCATTACTCTGCTCTGTTGACCTCTGATGCAAGGATAAGGATCTTCATATCTGTGGCAAGAGGAGCCAGCTACGATAATGCCACAGGACTGTACTCTAGCCTTGCAACAGAGTGAGACTCTGTCTCAGGAAAAAAGAAAAAAGAGGGCTGTGCCTGTGGCTCAGTGAGTAGGGCACTGGCCCCATATACCAAGGGTGGTGGGTTCAAACCCAGCCCCAGCCAAATTGCAACAAAAATATAGCCTGATGTGGCAGGCACCTATAGTCCCAGCTACTCAAGAGGCTGAGGCAAAAGAACCACGTACCAGATGTCCTCAAACTACGGCCCACGGGCCACATGCAGCCCGCCTAGGACATTTATCCCACCGGGTGTTTTTGCCACCGTTGCCTGTCCTGCTTAGCAGCCAACTCATCCCGGGGCCCGCAGTCTGGCCCTCCAACGGTCTGAGGGACAGTGAACTGGCCCCCTGTTTAAAAAGTCTGAGGAGCCCTGGAAGCCCAGGAGTTCAAGGTTGCTGTGAGCTGTGTGATGCCAAGGCACTCTACCGAAGGTGATAAAGTGAGGCTCTGTCTCTAAAAAAGAAAAGAAAAGAAAAGAAAACATAGCATGTGAACACTATGGAATGCTATTTAGTCGTTAAAAAAAGGGTTGAGCCCTCAAGATCAGAACTAGCACTCTAATGAGAAAAGACAAGAGAAAGCTGCTTCTCTCTCTCCCACTTTAAGGAATAGGGCCCTCAGGACAATCCAACCATGCTGGCACCCTGATGTTGGACTTCTTACGTCCAGAATTGTGAGAAAAAAAGAAAAAAACATTTATTAGGCCACCCCATCTACAGATATGGCAGCCCAAGATGACCAAGCAGCAGTGTCTCATGTTAATGTGTCCCTGAGTTAGAGTTTTATCTCTGGAAGCTGCAGCAAACAAACCTGTGGCCCATACGGGCCCTGGGCACTGTGCTCTGCCTGTGGTCACCCAGCCACTCATCCGACACAAAATTCCTTCTTGGCTGCACCATCCAGGCAGCTTCTTCTTCTTCTTCCTT